TTTGGATTGGACGCTTCATATCTCTATGTGTTATACACCTATCTTATTGCTCTCATTGAAAGAAGAAAATTTATAATCGGGTATGGTTTCATTATTTTGACACTTTGAGAAATTCATCACACTTTTTTCTCCATGTCAATTTTTGACTCTGTTTTTTATGATTTATTATTGACTTATTTTCCAGCAGTGAAGAGTAGAGGAACTCGTGTCAATTTAAGAAGTGCTAAAACTTACGAAGAAAGCTGAAATTTGCTGTACTGAATTAGTCAACGTTGACATTACTTGAATAACTTTGGAAAATATTTGATGTTACTCCTCATTTAGGAACTTCCTGGCAATCGTGACCTTTAAAACTTGAATTTAAAAAAGATCGAAGTGCCAGGAGTTAGCCTGCAATGACGTTAGTGAAACTGTAGCAGTAAATTCTAAAGAGCTGTGTATTTCTGCGAGATTACTGTGGATATTGTGTTATTCTAGGAAAGGATTATTTTAGATTTAAAGATGAGGAGGTTTTTAGAGAAAATTATCGTTATTTTGGCTGTTTTACAGATTGTACATTCATCTTGGTGGTAAGTCAACTTTTGTTTCACTTTTTAAATTTTCTTTGTCTAAATCACCAACAACTTTGGATCATTACCATTAACCTAACACAAATCATTTCACAAACTCTTTTAAAAAATGAATAAGCATTCATTCAACATTTGAAGACAAATTTCATATACACGATTTAGAAATTTAATTTATTTGGATATTTCAATTTATCTGTTACATGAAATATGTGGATTTTTTTTCATAAATTTGGAATATTGAGGTATTTAACTTTAAGTGAATTCGATGCATTACGTTAGAAATTGTTTTATTATCAAATGTACCTTATATTTAAATTGAAAGAAATAAGATTGGGCGACAACGGAAGAATGTTGCATATCTCATAAATATTTCAGTTAATATTTAATATTGACAGGCTTGATAAGCTATTATGTCTAGAAAAGTTACAGTAATATATTCAAATCTACATAAATATGCTTTTATTTCAAATTAAAAAATGTGTGAAAGATAACGCTGGTAGTTGAAGACATAAATAACACGTTATCATTGAAATATACTAAATAATTTAATAAAGACACTTTTAAACATTTTATTTTGCTTTTTCATGTATAATTTGTGTTTAAATTATAGGTGTGAAGATTTTTTATCTTTTTAATATTCAAATGTTTATATTGCAGAAACCATTTTGTGTTCTATTTCGTTAATCTCACATTTCAAATAATAAGATTTGTTTATCTCGAAAAAACATTTCGTTATGTTTTGGAAATTTCAATATAAACTGCGCATATTCGACTTCCAAGTTAAATAGACGTTCGAAATAAACAATAACTGGTGTTGAACAACGATTTGATTCAACTTAAAAATTGTCTAAGAGCTTCCGTTGTTTTTCTGACATAAAAAGAAATGAATCGAAACGACTAATGCTAATTCTCATATAAAAAGCACGTTAATTTTATTATATATATAGGTCACTTGTGCCCATGTTTTGCATTTGTGTGCTCAATTTTTTCTAACAGAACGGAGGACATTTACTACGTTAATTATTTAGAAGTGTGTATGTTATTTATTGTTTATGTAATTTATTATCTATTGATGGGCAGGGGTTATATATCACTACCTTGCTATTATAATAGTCAATTTGATTGATGGCTAATATAACATGATAATTTATAGACTTAACTTGAAGG